CCGTCCGCAGCGCGAGAGAGAACGGAGGCTCACAATCAGTCTGACAATGCTGTATACAAGTGGTGGTGAACAATGGAGGCCAACCACAAAGAATTCTGGGAACATGGGCACAGCCTTCTTCTCCTTCGGGTGGCTCCTGCATGCCGGACCCATCGATACACATCGGCCTGCTGAGACTGAGCGGTGCCAGAGAGAGCGAGAGAGAGAGAATATAGAGAGAGTGAGAGTGAGAGAGAGAGGGAGAGAGAGAATATAGAGATATGACGCAGCTATATGAGAGCTGCACAATAAATGTTTGTGGGTGAAAAGAACAATAATCACACACACACACAGGCTCAGTGTCAAATCTTCCCATAATTAGGTCACTTAATTTACAAACAACACGGTGTATGTGTGTGTGTGTGTGTGTGTGTGTGTGTGTGTGTGTGTGTGTGTTTGGTTGAGTGGGCGGTTGGTTGGACTAGCTGCAAAGCCTGCAACAATAAGTGAAAAATGATTTCTTACTGGATAAAAGGTGTTGAAACAAGAACAGGAGAGAGTAAAAGAAAGACAGAAAGATGATGGGATTTGGAAGAGTGAATGACAGACAAACAGAGAGAGAGAGAGAGAGAGAGAGAGGCAATTTCATCCCTCTCCTCTTTAAGTGTGCAGGGTGTGGGGTGAACGCGGTCCATTTGGAAATAATTGGCTGGTAATTAGGCGGGGTCGACAGGTCGATTTGGGAACAAATGGCTGTCTTTAGCTCAGGTGGCCCTCCACATGAGATAATGGGACCTTTCCTTCCCTCCCACCCCCCTCTCCTCTCCTCTCTTCTCCTCTCCTCTCCTCGACTTCCATATCTTCTGGTGTATGTGGAAAAAAAAAACATTCCCTGACGCACATAATCACCCCAAAACACAACGATTTCACCTATTAAAAGTGTTTTTTCATGTTTGGTATTTTTGGCATATATTGACAAAATGTTTCTAAAGGTGCAAAACAGCATTTAAAACGTTACACATATGAGAATAGTTGTGTTTCTTCATTTTCCGCTGAAACCACGGTGTAAGCGACTGCTGTCCTCTATCCCACTCCAGTAATATGTTGAGACTTACAGTACAAGCCCCCCACAAAGTTAGGTACATAGTTCTTGAGGGCAAAAAGTGTGAATGCACACATTCAAATATATTCAGACATGAAAGGAAATACAGAAATACAATAGATCCAGCACGTAAACAGTGTTTGTGTGTGTGTGTGTGTGTGTGTGTGTATGTTGGCTAGTGCAAGCCCCCCAAGTAGGGGCTCTCTTTCTTTCTGTTTCTCTCTGTGTCTCTCTCTCCTGTCCTCCTATTCAGCAGCGCCGGGGTCTTGTTTGGCTTCCTGCTGTTTGTGTCCAGACAGGGCCTTGATTTGAATACTGATTCCCCATTGATAGGCCCGCACTTCCGATCTAATTAACTTGTTTTGTCTTGGGCTAAATGGAAACGTCCGAGGGAGGGTGAGAGAAAGAAGGAGAGAGAAAAGAGGAGCGACACCAAACAATGTCACTGATCTTTGCAGGAGACGCGCCGTAAATAACAACAAGTAAATACAAACAGGACGGAGGTTAAGGAAGGACATGCTCTCCACTCATTGTGTGCACATCAAAAGGAATCGCTACTGCTTAAAGGATACACATTTATCTTGAAAAACAAAGGGGATATGATTTGAATTCAAAGCATCACTGAAAGTAAGCACGCAGAATAAAGGCGGGGGGGGGTTTGCAGTCAGAATGTTGGTGCACATTCACTGAGCGGAGTGGTGACTGGAGCGATAGGAACGGACTGCTTACTCCTGAGCTCTTCCAAAATGTGATTAAAAATAGTAATTGTCAACAGCCTCTTGAGGTGTTAAGGCTGAGTTGCAACTGCGTGGCCATTTTTGACACATTTCCCCGTACGGTTGACAAAGGGTTCAGGGAGGGTTTACTTTTAGGACCAACTTACTCCCCACAGATGTTTACATGATACATGCAAGAGAGACTTTTCATTTATGTCCAACTGTCAAGTTTATAGTAATTTGATGCTATCATTTAAAGTCTATATCACACATAATACCGCTACATCGTGAGCTGCAGATGAGAACGAGCCAAACGAGTGTGCATGTTGTTTCCCGGCTGTGTATTGTCCTCTGGTCCCCTGTGTGCGTCCATTTGTGTTTAGCGTATGTGTGGCCCTTGTCGCTGTTTAGCCTCAACTCCGTCATAGAGGGAAACGTAGAGCAAACAGGGCGCCAGAGGACAACAAGACACACAGTGAGGAGGAGAGGGGAGGCAGACAGTGACATCAGTATCCACAGAGAAAGATGACAACAACGAGAGAGGCTACTGACAAGAAAAGGCAGGAAGGCGGAGGGGTGGTGGTGGGGGGGTTAGATAATGGCTTATGACCCAAAATAAACTGCATAAACAAAAGAAAGAGAGGCTGAGATGGGCTAAAGGAAGAGGAGAGGGGGAGACGGAGGGAGGATCAAAAGGGGATGTCCGCCGCTGATACCGCACGTCAGATAATGTGTGGCGCAATTAGCGCGCTGTGACGATTCCCATTAGGGCTAATCAAATATTTATACTGCCCTCTGAGCATGTCACAATGCAGCCCTGGCCCTTCATATCAATGTGACAAATGCCTAATGAAAGAGCGGGTGGATGGACAGTGAGAGGAGGTGGAGAGACAGACAGATAGAAAGGGAGAGAGAGAGAAAGAAGGGAGGTGGAGAGGTGTTTGAATCAGAGTTTGCTCTGTCTCCCTTTTCCACATTTGGTTTGCAAATGGTTAGCCCTCTGTCATCAATTACAAGGCTGGTCTGGTGGCAGTGAGCGGCTATGTGTGTGTGTGTGTGTGTGTCATGTTTGTATGTGTGTGTGTGATGAAACAAGGACGAGGCAGCGCTGATGCTACCTCACCTAGAGCCATTAATCAAACTGGGCCGGGTGCAGAACAAGTCCAAATTGGGCTCATCAGTCTGGGCATTAAGCAGGCATCAAGGTACAAGGACGGGGAGATGGGGTGGGGGAAGGAGAAGGATGGGGGATGAAAGACATTTAAATCTACACTATTTTACTTGTCTACTCCTCTGTAATGGTGTCATTCCTCTCAAAGGAATAATGCCCCTCGATGTTAATGATGATCTCTTACATCTTAGGATTTTTGAGTCTTGACTGAAAGAGCCTAATTGACTAACTTCACGCCTAGACACATTCAAAACAATAGTGGTCTGTGTACCACACTGTGGCAGAGGTCCTGCTGTTGTGTTCAAAAGAGGGGAAGTGGGATAACAAGTTCATTACTTTGAATGAATGAATGTTCAACCTCTGGATTAGTCATGTTTAAAATTATCTGTGACGATCCTACTCTGTGGTGTTATTCTACACCCACGCTCCAACCAACTGACAGACAATTTATCTTAACATTCATACAGGCTACTTTTCCTGTATTTCAAAATATTACACAAATCTTAATTTCGTTTTCACACCGAGTGATTTCCTTTGTGTTATTTTAAAGGTGGCCATACATTTTCTGCTTTCCGAGAGTGGAGAAAGAAGAGACACATTAACCATTGGCGGTCAGTGACACAATCAACGGAGGGTTAGGGGTAACAAGATGGGCGGGCCTCTGGAGGTGAGAGGTCAAGTCCTGGCCTGACAGACAGATGGAGGAGAGTGGTCAGGACTTGAAAGATGAGAAAGGAATGAAGGATGGATCTGGTTTGGTGCTGTGACAGTCTGGGATATGGATGACCCTGCACACCAATGTGACAGAGAAAGGTTCTCGCGTTAACAAGGAATATACCTTTTTTTTTTTTTTTCATTTAGTGGCGTTTTAGAGGGCTGTGAAAAGAGGAAAACAGCCAAATGAAACACTACATTTGTGGTGTTTTTTTTACTCAACAGATAGCATAGAAAAACACTCCTGCAGAACAGAGACCGATAGTATATTGATGGTGTATTTAAACACCAAATAACAGCATGCGGCACAGTTAACAATTGGCCAAAACACAGGTTACGATGCATGAACTATAAACGTATGTGGTAAAATAGTTGGGGGAACATTTTTGAAATGCCAAATAGTTCAGTGTGTTTTATCAAAAACAAAGATGAAGATTAAATAGTGAAGAATTAGGCTTTTGTTGCAAACTACAACTGTACAAACACAAAATTGATTGTCACAAATATCCTAAAATGACAAAAGGAGGCGCAAATATTTTGTCATAAGCTGTAAAACGATCATTAAAGAGAAATTCGACATAGAAAAATAATAATTTTTGTCATAATGAAAACATACATTTAAGGTTTTTAAATAAAATAAATTGCGCTGAGACATACAAAAAAAGCTGCTCTGCAACTCTCTAAACAAAATGTCTTCGGTATGAAGCAACTGGGCGAGTAAAGCCTGGTAAGCACTGAGATAGACCTCTCCTTCTAACCTACATAACTCAGGATAACAGAAAATGTCAGGATAAGATACTTCAGCCGGCTAATCTACGGCGCGAGCGATAACATTCAGTGTGTGAAACCATGACAGATGGGTATTGATCTTAGTTGTTGAAGGAGGGTAAAATAGATAACTAGACCACTTTATTGATATTGATCGAAGAGTCGAGGGGGTGGGGGGGGGGAATTACATCCCTAACCCTGACAAAACAACAACTTTGTTGAATTAGTGTGCAATGAATGTGGATTAGATTCAGCAGGAAGAAAATAAAAGATTAATGCTTCATGTAAGGGGCAGTTAGTAAGTAGTGCGTGAATGAAAGGAACTTCACATCCACACACAAACAGAGCAAATATTTGGTGTTATCCAAAGTCGAACACATTCAAACGTAAGATGGTCGCTCCTCTCGGCATACACCGCTTTGAGACAAAAACGACACCACGACGACACAACCTCAAATTCAAACCGGCACATGCACCGACCCCCTAATCTCACACAGCGCCCTGCTTCTAACAAACATCTCAGACACTCACACGTGTGGTCATAACTCACCAAAAGCTGACATATTATGTTGCGCGTCTTTTTAGCTTCTCGCTACGGCGTAGTCGGAACTAAAAGTTCCCCGCTACCATAAACACTAGTTACCAATTAACCTTGTGTGTGTGTGTGACAGAGATACTAGAAGAGCACAGGGGGTGTCTGGCAGGCCTATCTGCGGCACTGCGATGCGCTAACGTGAAAGAATGCCAGTGTCAATGTGACAGAGATACGGGAAGTGCAGGGGACCGATGGGCCGGGTGAAGGTCGATGTCGAGGTCAAGTCCTGAAGTGGTGAACACTCGCTTGGAACATGTTGAGAACCCTCATATTGTGATTTATTTGTTGATATTATCTAATCCTGAAACGGTGCAAATGTGACGTTTGAGACTTTCAGTCAAGTAGGTTTGTTCGGGCCATCTGACAGCTGTGAGAGCCGCACTTCGAGGTGAACTGCACTTTTTGGAAGTCTTTTCAACAACGTCTCCTGGATCCTTTCTTATTATCCTTCCTTTCTCCATCGCTGGAACACCACTCATTTTCTTCATCCATCTTCACCTCACTCAAGCATCTACTCCCTCCACCACAACATCTGCACCCACTTCCTGTCTTTCTTGGGGATGGCAGGAGACTGAGCTGTCAAACGTCAAGCCTCAAGTCACTCGAGAAATGTCCAGGTCAAAACTTGAGTCCCTGAAGACTAGAGTATCTTCTGACTTAAGCTCTTATGGCAAGTTTTAAGTCAGTCAAGACAAGAACAATTCAAGTCTTGAGTCGGTAGAAACATGACCAAAACTAAAAGAAAAATGTTTGACTTACAGTCCAAAACGTATGTATTAAATGTAAATTAAAGAGACAGCAGTAGATCCGCACATTTAAGAAGCTAGAATTAGAGAACATTTGACAATGTTGCTCCATAAATGACTTAAACTGTTGATTGAGTTATTGGCACTCACCTGTTTATATGCAACTGATCAACGATCTAACCAGGTCCCAACATGAGAACATTTTTACTTTTAAACTTAAATGGTCTCACAGCACTCAAGTTGAACTTCAGTCCGACTTGACCCAGAGTCTCGAGTCTCAGGTACAAGCTCTGTCGGGATGTAACCAGGAGGGGAGGCGAGGGGAGAGAGGGAAGGGTTGAATGGGTGCTTGGGTGGGTAAAGCCATGGGACACTGGAGCTGGAACAGACCAGCATACCTAATGAAGAGATGATACTGGCCAGGACGGGGTGATGTGGGGTGGGGGTCGAAGGAATGGGTGGCAGAGGGTGGGCACAGGGCGGGGTGGAGGGGTCATTAGCACTAAATCTGTTCCATATGACACACACTCACATGGCCTGTCTGGACTCTCTCTTTCTGTCTGTCTGACTGTCTCCCCACCTCTCTCTCTCCCCCCCCCCCCTCTGGGCTGACGATGAGGTAAAGGAGGTGGGGGTGAGGGAGGGGTGAGAGGTGGAGATTTGTGAGTCACAACGGGAGCTCTGTGATCACAGGGGCCAGGCCTTGTCGCACACCCGGGACTCTGGTGGCTCTCCTTATCACGTAGAGAGGGCTTTTCATCAAACACCCGTCTTCTTCCTCCTCCCTATCGCTCTCTGTCTCGGTAGCTTGACAAAAACAACACACTGCTGCTGAGGACACTCACTGTGTGTCCACAAAGCATCCAATATGACTGCACCAGTCTATGCACATACATGGGCAGAGACAAATTTCATAAACAAGGGATTCAGTAAAAGTGAGCTTAACACAGTAACATAGGTAGCGTACTGCGGGGGATAAATAGAGATCAGAACATCAATACTCTGTTGCTGCTTTTCTCTGAATTTGGCCGAGTTGTGCATTTGGTTTTTCAGATAGCAAATACTCACTTTAAACATATTCACAGAGGTGAAACTAATTGTTAATGATTAATTAATTGATTGATTTGGTTTGCTATCTCTATCACTCTCCCGCTAACGTCTATTACTTCATCAGTGTCGTTCTCTCTTCATCGCTATTTTGTGGAACATGGGTGAAAGGTGGGACCAGTCTGTAATCTGGCTGCTAATACCTGGCCTGATTGTTACGCAGCACCACACACACAGGCCTGGATCAGTCCCTCATCCTGCACACCACAGAGCTGATGTCTCTCCACCATCACACACACACGCACACACTAATCACACACTGCCCCATGCCTCTGCCTGTGAAACAAAAGCAGGCCTTGTCTGACCAGGTCCAGCACTTGTACAAGAGGCTTAGGGACATTTTTCTCATTTTTGACCAGCTAATATCTTGCAAAAGTTGTCTAATCTCTTTGCGTTTAAGTTGAGATTTGTGCGCCCCCACCTTCTCCACATGCCTAACACTTACCCCTGCTAGGCCCTGACGCATGGTGCTTAACCAGGCCATTTTAATTAGGTTGTGTGTGTGTGTGTGTGTGTGTGTGTGTGTGTGTGTGTGTTTGTGTGTGTGTGTGTGTGTGTGTGTGTATAGGTATGTGTGTGTGTGTTGTGTCAGCATCAGGGCCCCGTGGACTTACAAGCTGATATAATGAAACACAGCAGGTGACGAAAAGATCAGCACCACTTTGAAATCAACCAACTAAACTTGTAGCGACACTCAACAAATGTAAAAAGCCTCCAATATGGGTTTCCTTATATATTGCCTTCTAATACATCCTCTATATTAGCTGTCTACAATTTGCAAGGAAATATTGAACTATACTCACACTTAATATAATTACTAAATACTAAATTGTTGTTCATGTAATTAATATTAAACCTATTTTCTATTTAATTGATACAGTCAATTCTACCGCTGCTGTCCAGCATCTATGACATGTTCGGAGGAGGGATTCCTCCTCTGTTGCTCTTCTCGTGGTTTCTACCTCTTTGTTTTTTTTAGTTACACTGGTTAAGTGGAGTTTTTCCGGAATCAAGGATCTAAGTATGGAGGATTTCATTACCTACATATTGTAAACCCTTTGAAACAAATTTGCAATTTGTACAAATTAAACTGACTTGGCTTGACTTTAATTCTAACCATCTCTCAAAAAATGACCAATATTGCATGGAAGTATAACTGCATATATGCACAGTATTCACATAAATATGTAATATATGGAATGGAAACAATATATGTTTGTGAATCATCATTTTAACTAAAGCTGAAGAGGAGGAAAACCGTTGCACTGAATCCCGTTTATTCTCCTCTGCTGCTTACAGCATGAAAGGGACCATAGATACTAAAGGCAGATAATGCGCTGGGAGCTGCAGTGCAACTACAAACCAATTCTCTCAGTGAAAGGAATAAAGGCTACCAGGGTTACAGGAAGTACAACCAAGTTGGAGAGTGACAAAGAGACACAGAAAGGAAAGAGAAAGAGAAGAAGAAGAAGGGCCGCTTTTGAGAACTGAGAGACCGACGGGCTGTTTTCCGACAGTTTGCCATGCCAGCTCCGAGTGTGCTGACGGCTGGTGATTTCTAACAGGCTTTAAAGAGGGTCATTTTATGGGCTGTGCTTCTCTCAGTCTGTCTGCCTTACTATCTATCTTCCTCTATTTGTCACTCTTAATGCAATTCTGTCTGCTATGCTATCTCGCTGTATGTATGTGCACAAGATTGCGTATCTACATATATCTGTACCAGTGTTGAGACGAAGTGAGATAGAATACGGCGAGGATTGGGAAAAGGCATTCATATAAATGTTTCAAATGGAGGTTTTTTTTCTTCTGTGTGTGTGTGTGTGTGTGTGTGTGTGTGTGTGTGTGTGTGTGTATTGTGAGCCATTTTCTGGTATTGGGGCACTGCGCTCTACAACAGCAGCTGATTAGAAACAGTAGGTGAGCTTTGCTAACAATTCCCAGTGAATATGCGAAACGAGACGAAAATAGTGAGGACGGAGAATCACAGAAAAAAAAAAACTGGCATGGATGCATCGAGATCTCAGCCAGATGAAAATGAGACAAGCTCAGCGCTGTTTCTCTCTCTCTTGACTCCTCTAAGTGAGCTTTTGATACGAGGCCTTATATGGCATCATTTTACAAAACAACTTGGGCTCATACACACACACACACACACACACACACACACACGCGCGCACACACAAACATACGCTTATGCACAGATACAAGTCAGCGTACATTGCAGGAAAAACCATGTACAGGACCAGGTTGCCAAGGAAACACCCACATTTAAGGCCTTTTAGGTGATGAAATAATTGAGCCACATGACCTCGGCTACCCTGACCCTCACAGCATCGTGCAGTAACATAGATGGTAAAAGAGGGCAGCATCGGTATAGTATCAACACCTGAAATGGAAAACACCGACTCTCTCAAAGCTTTTACTAAACTTTCTGTAGCTCAACAGGAAACTCGATAAAGGTTTGACCTCCTCTGCCATAGAGCATTGTGTTTTAACTTTCCATACTTCACCACTTAACCACGCAGTGCGCTCAAGTATTACAGTACATTCACGATTCTTATATTTAATCAAACGCATATGGGTTGAGGCAGCGATTACTATACTTGCTGTCTTGTCTTTGCCAAAAATGACATATTCTCCTGTAATATTCCCAAAAAAGCGAGAAGATAGCTTATCTTGGTCCCTCCTTTCCAGGTCCTGCCAAGAGTCTAATCCAAAAGAAGTCAAACTGATTCCAGAACAGCACTTACACTCTCAAGAGCTTTACTTCCATCCGTATTACTAGAATGAAGCTGTAGCTGTCAGTCATTCTCCTCCTAAAACAGGTGCTGAAACACAGAAACTGAAATCAGGCAATAGGCTCTAAGACAAAATTGTGTTTGAGTGCTTATGTTCACGGACTCACGCTAACAACTTTATTACCGCTGCATGTCGCATGTCTCCTCTATGTTTCCCTGTAACAGAAATTAACTTTTTTCTGAGCTCATTCAAGTCAAACAGTCAGCGCCCTCTCTTCATAATAAAAATACAGCTTTTTTCCTCAGCTTGGGAAGTTGGCAGACTGCTCCAGTAGACATTCTCTTTCTGTTGCTTCATATTTTTGGAAGGGGGCAGCGTACCCTTGATTGGCTGCCGAAGAGATTCTAAATAAAAAGTGTTTGGGCTATTTCGGGGGCCAGATATGTTTTCAGCCCTCTTTAGCTCGATCAGACAGGTTTAAGGTCAACAACAAATGAAGGAGAGTTGGAGATAAAAGAGGAGGCTTGGTAAGGAATGAGCAATTCTTCAAATAAAGCCCTTTTTTTTGTATTTCAGCAAACACAGTGTGTGCATGTGCTCGTGTGCATCTGCATGTCTCAGCAGGGGCGCTCGTATATTCAGGGTTGCAGGCACTCTCGCCATCAGCTTTTCTGATTAGAGCCGTAATTAAAATCTGTGGTAATTGGTGTTGTGGCCAACACTGGCCACCCAGTTCATTAAGGACCTCTATTCTCCTGCTGCATTCCAATAAATGGTGAAAGAACGAGCGTTATTAATCTGCTACACCCGGGGGACAAGTCAAGTGTGAGGGAGAGAGGCTGAGAGAGAAACGGAGCCAAACAAGGAAGGAGGGAAAGAGAGCTCTCTCTCTATTGATCAAGTTGATCCCTACTTGGTCAATGTTTGAATGCAAAGGGTTTCACAGTGATGGATTAAATCAAACCGAAGAAAGATCAGAAGAGGTGAGAAGTTAATTCACTAAATGTATTAAAAGTTACATTGCAGAAAATGTGACGGGATCCATTGCAGAGAAAAGCAGCCAATTGAATTCTGAGCAAATATCGAATGCAAAGAACACAACTTTAAATCTTTTATAATCTTTTATATATATATAAGAACACTTTGAAGTAAAACTGGTCACATGGGCCAAATCATCAAATCTCTGCTGTTGATCTCATCTATGCCTCTCTCACACATAAACATTATCATCCCTCTCCTCTCTGACCCTCCACATAGTGTTCAAAAGCAATACGTTAAATCAAAATAGATTAAGTCCATTAGCATGAAAGCTACAGCTAACAGACAGATTTCCTACCTGGTTGTGGTCGTTTTAACTATGGGTGTGCGACCTAATTGGTTTCCAATATAAACACACCAGTAGCAACAGGACCTATAGGAGAAGTCGGTCTATTCTATTGACATACTGACCAAGCACCCTTTAATGTCTTTACAAACCTCCATCTGATTTAGCTAATAGCAATCAAGTGCCAAGTTACCGGCAGTCTCATTATCACCCATTTCCCCAAATCAAGATCCAAGAAACAATTG